AGTTGAATGGTGGGATTCAGGTGCTAGGTGACAGGAGAGCGATCAGAGGGCTTCCATAAGCCCGGGGTAAAATCCGAAGGCTGTTTGCTTGCAAGCCTTACCCAGGGGCCCCAGAGCTTTGGCCAGGGATACTGAGCCCCTGCCTTCCCGTGCTTCTTCCCTCCATACCGTGTGGCCATTGAGGATCCGTCAGGGGGGCTTGGGCACAAATGCTGCACCCCACCCCCTCCCCCATGCAGCTGGTTAGGGTTCAGGATTTTCCCCAGATGCAGGGACTCCCTCCCAGGCTCTCACCGCCTCTCTCTCCTTTGCTGCAGTGACCCTTCCTGATAAGCAGCGTGGCAAAACGGAAGGCTCGGTCTGTGTCAGGAGGCCCTGGGTTGGAATCTCAGGTCTTCACTGACTTGGGCGAGCCATTTGACCTCTGTAAGCCTCGATTTCCATGCCTGGAAAATCCCCTTCACCCTGCGCAAGAGGCAAGCCCGTGAGGAGCCCGATGTTAAATCACTGTCAGCAAGCTGCCTCTGAGTCAGGGTTTCATGCGTGGCAGAGCAGCTACCTCGCTGTGAACTATTGAAAAGCCAGCCCTTGACACAAGCGGCCGCCTCTCACCGACAAAACGGGGCCGATGTTGAGAATGTCTACCTCACGGGGCTGCCGAGGGAAGCAAGCCTGCCTGGTGAGGTGATGGTGTCGCGCCCAGAGCAGGATAGTGACTGGAAGGTGGGCAGGGCAAGAACAAGAGTGACCTCATCTCTAGGAGAGGGACCAGGAGCCGAAAAGACAAATGGGGCCAGGACCACGGTGGTCCTTGTTGGCCGGCGACTGCTTTTCGTTCACTGTTGTGTCCCCCGGAGCCCGGCCCGGGGTTTGGCAAAGTATACAGTTGGTGCTCAATAGGTGTGTGTGTTGGACTCATGGCTGAATGAACAGAGACTAAAAGAGAGATGAGTTCCCAGACCTGTTCTCCACCAAATTTTCCACTACTTTCTATCACAGACCTCTACTCCAACCCCGAGATCAGAGGTTCTTTACGTGACGTCTGTGGATCCTCTCCAAAATTATATGCAGAGTATTCTGTGTGTTTGGAAATGTACCTTCCTGGGGCGCCTGGGTGGCTCAGTTAAGCATCCACTCTTGATTTCAGCTCAGGTCACTTCATGGGATCGAGCCCCACTCGAGTCTAAGCCTGCTTGCAATTCTCTCTCTATGCGCCTCCCCCACTCTCGTTCTCTCTCTCTCTCTCTCTCTCTCTCTCTCTCTCTGTCTCAAAATAAACTTAAAAAACTGTATCTTCCTGAATTAAACATCCGCTTTCTGCCCAGAAAAACTTCTCAGTAAACTCTGCTCTGAAAGGTGAACGTCTCCCAGGTGCTGAGTGAATACCCATCAGTTGGATTCATCTGGCCCCCAGGACTTCCAGGTGCTCTCTGGATTTCAAAACAAAACAAAATAAAAACCAGCCTCACTTTTTCTCTTTGAGATGTGGATAGAGGGCCCAACCAGCCTGCAATTTTTTTTTAATGCTCCCCCCCTCCCCCCTCCAAGGTGCAAGGCAGTTAACCTGCCATCTTTTGTATGGAAAAGTGATGATCACGCGTCATCAGGGGGTTTGTCTTCTGAGTGCCTCTTACATGCTGGGTGGGTCACAGAGCTGTGTATATACTCTCTCACTCTCTTGTATCCCACCTTGTGCATTTAGGTGTGACAGTCAGGGCCCAGAACCTAGGAGTATTAACGAGGCCTCATGGTATCTGAACTCAGAGCAGTGATCTCTTTTTTAAAATGTCTCTTTCTCTATAAATAAATACATGTATCTGTGTACATGTATGTTTGTGTGTGTATGTGCATATATGTAGCTACATATCATTGCATCTATCTATTGGAAGAAATTTGTAGTACGTAAACAATGAAAAAAATCACCTTGTCACCTCCCCCTTCCAAAGGACTGTTGTTAACACCTGGCTTCGGTTGGTCCCACTTACCGCGTACAACATTTATTGAGCACTTACTGTGTGCCAGGGGTTTGCTGGGCCGCATGCTCCCCGAGCACTGTCACATGTTAACGTCTCATCTTACGGTGGGTATTTGCCACCTTCCTACACGCACGTTTATACTTGCTTAATTTTTAAGGCCAAGGAGATCATACTGTTTTGTCACCTTGCCTTTCTCCATGCCATCGAAATTTCTTTCCGTGATATTAAATATTCATTTACAGGATCTTTTGTAACAGCAGCATGTTTTATTGCAGGCGGGTTCCGTGCTTCCCAGACTGGGGTGCGTGTACCCCTGAGGGCAGAGCCACAGGATAAATTGTAGCACATTTTCCTGAAGGAGAAATTTGATTCGAAGCTTTGGGAGGGGAAAAAGCCCATTATTTTAATATCAAAACAAGTACAGATATACCGTAGTATAGAACACAGAGCACCCATGAATTTTAAAACAGCAAAAGCCCAACATTGCGTGTTCCTCTTATTCCACAAAGACCCATGGCCCCTCTCTGAGGATGGCAGAAACACCTGAGAAGCACCAAGTTCTAGGTCGAGCCCCTCTTTTTTGCAGAGAAGCAAACTGAGACACAGGGAGAAGAAGGGACTGCCCGAGGTCCACGGAGTGTGACTGCAGAGCCTAGCCAGGTGACCCTGTACCCCTCCCACCCTTCCGTATGGGGCATCACACTTCTGCATTTTCTGAGGGTGTGAAGGGAGACCTTGCCACTTGAGTCATCCAGCCTCTGCTTCTCAACAGAGGAAACTCTCGGCTTCCTGCATGATCCATCTCTTAGCAGAGGCTTTTCCTTTTTCACCTTGCTGGTCAGGATCTGAGCTGTCTGCTCATGTAGGTGGCCTCCATGGGCAAAAGTGGATAACCTTCAAAAGTAACTACACCAGCACTTTGATCTTCCACGAAATGCACTGGATGAGAGGCACGTATCCACTGGTCTGTTTCACCCATGAGACTGGGAGCCTGGCGACGGCAGGGGTTATGTGCTAACATTGTTACCATCATCTGACATTTATTGAACGCTGGCTGGACGCCAGGTGCCATGCGGAGTGTTTCATTTATAGTATTGACTCTCTTCATCATAGCTTCCCAAAGCAATACGTGGTTATCCCCATTTATCTGGTAAGAAAACTGAGTGGAAACTTAGCACTTGCCTACCATCATTCGCTCATTTGGTAAATATTTATTACAGACTTACATGCCAGGGCTTTGCTAGATGCTGTGGGCAGTCGTGATGAACAAAAAACCGACACCACTCCCACCCTCATGGAACTTACAGACAAGTGGGAGAGAGGATATTCAACAAATAATTTTACAAACCAAGGCCAGTGCCGTGTAGCCCGGAGCCCGTCTATATGCCTCAGTTTGAACCCACCTCAGCCACTTATTAGCTAAGTGACCTGGGGAGAGTCTTGGACCCTCTCTGGACCTCCTCTTCCTCGTCTATAAAATGAGGACAGCTGGCATACTGACTTCATACGAGTGCTGTGCAGAGTGAACGAATCCACATGTCTAAAGCACCCACAGCGGGGCCTTGCACATTCCACATGTGTCCTTGCTGGTGGTGGTTATGGAGAGGCACATGGTGCTAGGTAAATGTGACAGAGGAGGACCTACTGTAGGTGACATCTGATTGAGTTCTATAAGGTGAATAGGAGTTAACTTGGCAGCGTGTGGGGAGTGGGCAGGGGAGGGAAGCAGGATGCTGGAGGGATGTTCCGGGCAGAGGGAATAGCGTTGGCAAAGCACAGGGGGAGGCGTGGGGAGCGGGGCAGGTAGGTGAGCTCACCTGAGGCACTGCAAGGAGTGTGGCTGGAACACATACGTGGGGGGCCATACCAGGTCAGCATCTAGGAGGAGGGGCCTGTGATAGACACAAATACAGCCGCCACCAGGACCTGGGCCCTTGGCACCACACCGTCGATCCGGGCCATGGAAGACGCTCAGGACGTGTCCAGTGAGCGAGCAAGCACACGGCCAGAAAAACCGTTGGCCTCACCTGATCTTGGCTGTGGGTGTTCTATTAATCACCCGACTAGAAAAGGGGTCCATCGTCCTATTGACGCAGGGCTGTATGGACAGCCCCATCCCCACCGCCAAGCTGTCACACACCCACTTTGCTAGTCCCTCTCTTCTTGGCAGTAGATTAAACCAGGTGGGTTCAAAGGAGGGCGTCCAACATCTGGGACTCCCTAACGTGGGTGCTGACAGAATCCCAAATTTCAGCCGGCGCCTCAGACGTAAGCCAGTGGTGATCACACGTTCATAGTAGCAGAGCCCCGTGTTGAAATTATCTGAGAGGAAACACCAGGGCTCCCTAAAGCAGGAGGAAATCCAAGGGTTGAGCTGAACCTCCGTCTCCCGGGTGTGGAAACAAAGCCCAGAGAGGGGGTGACTCTCCAAGGGTCACACAGCCAGGGACAGACCCAGGACTAGACCTTTGATACCAATTCTGCTACCCCAAGATTTTCCTCCACACCCCACGGTGTGGCCTTGAGGTGGCGAAGGGCCGCGTGGCTGTGATCTTGCCCGGGGTCCAGCCTCCAGCCTCAGCCAGGGGGCACAGACCCCAAAAGACACGAATCCGGAGGGCGGGCGTGGGAGGGCTGTTCAGGGTCACGGCCTGGTTACGCCGTGTCTTTTTCTTCCTCTCTCTCTCTCTCTTTTAATTGAGTGTGAGGTGGTTGTTTTTTGTTTCCTTAAGAAATGGAAAAGAACGGAGCTGCATAAACACGGCGATGCTAACTCCCTGAAAAACCTCCTGCCATTTTAACTCTGTTACTGGAGAAATAAAAGAGAAATAATTTGTCCACCCACACTTAGCTCTTTCTGACGAAGGTAGGTGAATATTGCTTTGCTAATCGAGGGTGACGGCTGGAAGTGGAGCCACGCTGACTGATCCCAGATTGAGCGGAAGCCACAGCAACCCCAGAAGGAGCGGCCCGCCGTGGGTCGGCAGGACCCGAGTCACCGGGCGCGTGTCCCGCCTTCCACAGGTCTCCCCCAGCCGGTAGTGATGGAGGCGCTGGACCAGGCCGAAGGGCTCGCGGACTCTCCGAGAGAAATGCCACCGCCCCCACCGCCTTCACAGCCCTCAGAGCCAGCTCAGAAGCCACCACCTCGAGGCGTCGGGAGCCACTCCCTCCCTGTCAGGAACAGCCTGTGCCTGTTGGCTGCCTCCCAGTTCCTGGTAAGGATATCACAGGCCTTACAAGGGCCTGACTGAGGGCAGGTGGAGGGACGGCCCCCCCGCGTCCTCCCCAGGATGGCCACCTGGGGATCGTGGGAGGTGAGGGGCCTTCTCAGTGTCCCACAGTGACTCCAAGCCCTCGGGCTGGTGTGTACAGGAGGCTGGAGGTCTCAGCTACAGCCTCAGCAGCTAAGACCCTCACAGCCTGCCTTCCCTAACCCGAGAAGCAGGACTTGAGGCTTCCCCAGCAGCCAGGCCTGCAGGGGTCTCTCTGAGAATTTCCCATCTATGGAGATACAACTCTGGGAAACTTTTCTTTTTACGTGGGTACCTGGTGGGGGTCCCTTCTGGGAAGGGTTTTATCTTGGCTCCCTCCAGTCAGTTTTTCTCCAGGGAGAGTCCTGAGGCCTGCTCTGCGCACACAGTACCTGGGCTCTTCCCTGAGCTCTGTAGTCTGGACCTTGGGGGGGCCAGGTTGAGGCTGCAGGTGAGCTCTGCAGGGGGACTATGGGGGCCAGGAGCCCAGGGTCCAAACTCAGTCCGCTCCCCCTGGCTGCCCCAGCTTGCCTGCGGGGTGCTCTGGCTCAGCGGCTATGGCCCCATCTGGTCACAGAATGCCACAGACCTCATCTCCTCCTTGCTCACACTCCCGGAACAGCTGGGACCCATGGTGAGTAAGCTCCAGGGAGCTCCAAGGTAGGAGGGAGCGACTGGGGACCTCTAGCCCCACCAACCCCTGGATGGGGCTTCTCCGAGTTCAGAAGATACTTCCATGCCCCTGAGACCCATCTCCCTGCTCCCCACCCAGACCTGGTCAGAAGCTTTCAGAGCCTCAGTTCTGTCGCTGCCGGAATGAATGAGAACTTGGCCCCCCCGCCACCACCACCCTGTGGTGACTGTCTGTCTCATGTTCCCCAGGCCTGGCTGGGCATTGGGACCTGGGAAGTCCCCAATCTGCTGCTGGTTACTCTGTCTGTGATCCTCATTACCACCCTGGTAAGGTACCTCCTGGCCTGACCTCCGTGCACCCCTCCTCTGACCCCGAGGCCCAGTACCCCCCCAGCTCCCACTTGATTTCCGAGCTAGATGTTTCAGGTCGGGGCAAGGACAGGGTATCTGTGCCCTTCCACTGGTGAGCCCAGCCTGGGTTGAGGGACACCTTCTTCTTGAAGATGGGTTTGCGATGTTCTAAGCTGAGGGAAGGACTAAAGCCAGAGAAGACTGGTGTAGGAGCCCCACACCCCACCGAGAAGACCTCAGTCCACAAGAAACTGAGGGTTGGGGGAGGGTGGGGGCAGGGAGTCGGGTGGGGACTGGAAACTCCCATCTAGGTGAAGGGCGGTGCTATGCAGACGGCTCCCAGGAGAGCAGGGCTGCTCTAGACTCATTGAGGGCAGGGGACTCCATCTCATGGACACCCCGTCACTCAGGGGCCAGCTGACACGGCCCCAGGTCCACGATGCTGTGTCTTCCCAACTAGGTGTGGCACCTCCTGAGGGCTCCCCCAGAGCCACCCGCCCCACCGCGCCCTGAGGATAGACGCCAGTCCGTGAGCCGCCAGCCTTCCTTCACCTACTCCGAGTGGATGGAAGAGAAGGTCGAGGATGACTTCCTAGACCTGGACCCTGTCCCTGAGACTCCTGTGTTTGACTTCGTGATGGACATCAAGCCGGAGGCCGACCCTGCCTCACTCACCGTCAAGTCCATGGGTCTACAGGAAAGGTGGGAGGGGTGGAGAAGGGGTGGGCTCTATGGGCTTTTGAGCTCTCAGCTCCCCATCAGAAGGGCAGACACCTGACTCTGACTCCCAGGGCCCAGGATAGAGCTGGCCTCTTAGTTTAGCCAGTGTAGACACATGCTCGTCAGGTCTGATTCCTATAGATCAGAGTGCCCCAAGGTAAATGCTGAGAAGTGCCGTTAGTGCACACGAGCGCATAGGCACATACAGGTGTATGTGTGTGCATGCTCACACATACGCTGCCGTGCTCAAGTAAGTTCGGGTAGGTTCCCTTATTACAGGACTTGTCAGGGCCTGTAACACGCTTGCGTTCATTGTAAATCAGCAAGCGGGTAGCGTGTGGCATTCCTCAAAGTCTGCTGACCACTCTGCTTTTGTAGAATGTCCCAGAGTATTCCCCAGAACATACTTCGGGAGGTGTCAGCACCTTTTCAGAGTCTCGTTGGGTAAGCTGGATCACACCAGGTTTGAGTTCTCCACATGATATCTTGGAAGAAGCCCTGGACGAGGAGTCAGAAAACCTAGCTTTTAGTTTCGGCTCTGCGATTCCCTTACTGTGTGAGCTTGGGCAGTTCTTGTCCCCTCTCTGGGACTCGCTTTCCCTTTCTATGTGGTCAGCGCCCTTCGACTGTTCTGTTGACGCTTTAGACACCGAATGGGGTAGAGCCTGTCCAGTGCAGACATCTTTGCTGCTGCTATGCAGCCCCGGGACTCCGTCTTCCCCCGACAGCCAAGGGGCCTGGCCTCTCCTGGTTGAGATTTCCATGACTCATGGCCAGCGTCAGCCAGGACTGGCGGGACCAAGGCCATGATGTGGAGGGTAGAGCATCGCTTCCCTGCTCTAGTCAGGTGCCCTCTCTCATGAGCTTTCTGGGGCCACAGGGCTGGGCACTGCCTCTGGGCAGTGACAGAAGAGAGTCCAGGGAGGGCTGTGTTGAGGCCGCCTTGGATGGAACCTCTGGAACCGGGGCCCCAAGCTCCCCACCTCAGTTAGCATCTCCATTGCAGGAGGCAGGAGACGGGGGATCAGGCCTAAGCCCCGGAGCTGAGACTCATGCTGTTCCCGTCAGGGGCGCTGTCACCCTCCCACTCCTCCCGCTGCCACCCTTGATCTCTCCCTCCCCACCTCACCACCCCTGAGACTCACTCCCCCTTTCCCGGTCCTTCCAGGAGGGGCTCCAATGTCTCCCTGACCCTGGACATGTGCACACCAGGCTGCAATGAGGAGGGCTTCGGCTATCTCATGTCCCCACGTGAGGAGTCAGCCCGCGAGTACCTGCTCAGCGCCTCCCGTGTCCTGCAGGCCAAGGAGCTTCACGAGAAGGCCCTGGACCCCTTCCTGCTGCAGGCAGAATTCTTTGTGAGTCCTCCCGTGCCAGTCACGCCACTCTGGGTAGACCTTTCTGCTCACACCGATCACAAACCTAGCAAGGCAGTGGTGGGGGTGCCCAGAACCCAGCATCTGATAGATTTGTTATTTCCTTATCAGCTCTCCCACCATCTTGGGCGAGCTGCTTCCCCTCTGAGCCTCCGTTTCCTCACCTGGAAAATGCGGGTAGAAATCATAGGAATGTTGCAAGGATGAAAGACATGGCTAATGTGTGCAGAGGGCTCCGCTGGGTGACTGGTGCTCGGTGGCGTCCCCAAGTCCTCACTGCCCACTGCGGTGCTTTGAAAGTCAAAGAATGCCTTCCTTCTGGCTTCCTGTTTTCCCTCCCTTCGCCCGGCTGACATCACCAAGCGTCGTTCATCCTCTGACATCCCTCCAGTCACCCCGTCCCCCTCTAGACCCTTTGCAGCAGCCTGGTCCAGCTGCCTCCTGTGGGATTTTGAGGTGCCCGATAAATGACATTTACCTGCTTTACCTGCCTGAGCCCTCAACCAGTCATCAGCTAAGACGTAATGACAGTGTCTCCTTTATTTTCGTTGATGAAGGCAAAGTGTGAAATGAGGCTTAGGTGCGTCGTAATAGTGAGCTTTCTAATACTGACCCCCAGAATTTGCAGATTTTCTACCCACCCCAGGTGGTGCGCCCCACACCCCATGGGGGCCATCCCTATGTTTGTTTCTCTGCAGGAGGGTCCCCAAAGGAGGAGGAAGGAAGGGCTTGGGTCCAAAAGCTGATTCCTCACTCAAACCTACCCATCCGGTAACTCACCAGTATGGGCAGGAATAGGAAAGAGGCCTCGAGTATTCGGGGAAAGTCCAGAGGGACGGGGAAGCCATGAACCTCCCTCAGCTCCCCTTGCCCAGGCCACCTTGTCTCCTACCTGGACTGGATGGCCGTTTCCTCTGTGAAAACCGCAGTCACTCTCCGACCCACTGCTCCACATTCTCCAGGGCTGGGCATCGCCTGTCTTACCCGAGTTGGGCTAGCCCAGCCTCTTTGTTCAGCCCTATGCCCCCCACCCCTAGAGCGACTGTCCACTTCAAACTGGACCACCACCTCCCCCTACCCCCGGGCTTCTCCTCCCATGCCTGTACTCACATCATTGCCCCACTGGATGCTTCCAGAAAGCCTTCCTTAACCACCCGAGCCTCAGTTCTGCTCTGTGTCCCCCATCATCACCTCCCCTTGAAGAAGGGGTTTGAATCCTCTCTGGTGTTTCCTGTTCAGTAAATTGTTGTTGATTTTGCCCAGAGAGAAAAGAACATGGCCTGCACATTCACTCCGTGGGCACTTTTGGACACATTGGTTTTGGTTTTGGTTGTTTTTTTGTTTTTTTCGATTCTCACAGTAACCCAAGAAAGTGAATCTTTCTCAATACTTAAAGCCCATACTTACTATGTCCAAAAACTGTGGACACTGTGAAACTACGTGTAGTCAGGCGCTGAGCAGCGGGGTCAGATGGAAGGGGGGGGGTGGTGAAGAAGCCCGAGGCACTGGGGAGTCATCCCGGAGAACAGTGGGGAGGGGCCAAGAGGTGAACTTACAGCCTAGGAACTGTTTGGACAGGTGGAGAGGGGTGGGATCAGGGCTCCCGACTAGCAGAGTCAGAAGGCACGCTGGGAGCTCAGACCTGGAGCGGGATGGAGAGGGACGTATTTGCAGCACAGAAGAGACCTGCCTGTAACTAGAGAGCGGGTCACTGAGAACAGCCCGCGGTAAACAAAGACCAGATGCAAGGCGACCTCACATGCCAGGTGGAGAAGTATGAACTTGGGGCTCTCGACACAGAGCATGATTGGGAGGTGGAAACATATCCTTGAGAGCTCAGAAGGAGGCTCTTTTCCCGGGGAGAATCGGGGAAGGCTTCTTGGAGGAGATGGCATTTAAGGTGGACAGGACAGAGGATGGGGTGGATGTTGACCACAAAGAGTGCGCACTGCCTGAGCTCCTGCGGTGGGGACGCCCTGGGTGGGAACCCGGATCCGTGAAGCCATTCAGGTTGGCTGCAGCGCAGGGAGTGTGATTGGTCAGGTCCCTGGTTCTCTCCTTGTTCTTTGTTCAGCAGCCATTAATTGAGTGTCTACTATGTGCCAGGTTGGCCCTTGATCGACTATAATAATAACATTTATTATTTACTCACTACGTGCCAGGTGCTATTCTAAATGCTTTTTATGCGCAGTGACTCATTTAATACTAAATGTTTACCGAATGAAGGCATGCACTCATGCAAACGTCTGGACTAGAAGTTAGGGGCACACCGGTGCCTGGATTCAAACGTCTGTGAGAGCCAGCCCACAGCTGCTAACTCCCCCGTGTCCTCATCTTGCAGGAAATCCCCATGAACTTTGTGGATCCGAAGGAGTATGACATCCCTGGGCTGGTGCGGAAGAACCGGTACAAAACCATCCTTCCCAGTGAGTACTCGCTGCCCCAGAAGGTGAGGGCAGGCTCACCCTCACCTGGGTGCCCCTTGCCCTGAGCTAGGCCTTCAGGGTCACGAGAAGGAGGGAAGGAGGGTTAGGGGGTACCGAGTGCTGGGAAAGTCTCCCTGCTCAGGGCAGAGGTTAGTTCTTTCCTTCACCCTTACCCTGGCTGTGCCTGGCTCTGGAAACCCAGAGAGAAAGAGTGAAGGTCGTAAGAGCTCCTAGACGGTGCGTGGTGACTGGAGAGTATTTTCACCCTCTTTTATCTCTTCAGAGTGGGCAGATTTTGAAGGGAGGAAATGGGGGCTCCGAGAGGTTGATTGGCTCATCCACAGTCACGCAGCCAGGAAGTTTCAAACTGGGCCTCCTTGACCCCGGAACTGGGCTCTTTGGTCTACCTTGAGTTGACTTTGTTCTGGTTGTGAGTCCTCTCACAGGAAGAGCCGCCCCACAAGGGAATGAGCTGCCTGTCAGAGAGCGAGCTCCACATCACTCAGGGTGTGCAAGTGAAGTTGCATGGTCAGTGCCCTGGCAGGTCTGAGAGGGACAGTTAGACCAGGTGACCGAATGTTCCTCTTTCAGCCTGGGGTGTCATTTTTGGATAACTTTCATCAAGCCCCTGTCTGCCTGTCACCCCTGCCAAGTTCAGGCCCCAGGCCCCAAGGCTGGCTTAGGGGGTGACGTGTTGGAAGTGAGTCCCCACCAACCCACTCCGCTCAGTTGGTGGAGTAACGAGGCTTTAAAAAAGCAGTTTTCCCATCAGCATCTCCAACAACATGTAAGATGTCATGACTTATTTTTAACTTTTAAAATATCGACTTGTGGTTGCTATGGTTACACAGTCTCTAGGTAGTTCCGGTTAAACAAAGCACCATTTAAGGCCAGGATGCATTATTCAGGGCTGCTCACCTCGTCCCTCATCTTGCCACCCTCCAACCAGGCAGCCCCGCGTGAGGGGAGGGGCTCGGGGACCCCAGAACTGGGGGCTTTGCTGGCCACTCGGAATGACCCCTGGGGGAGGCTGGGAGCCCGGCCATCGCTCCAGCGGTCCCCACTGGATTGCTGAGAGGCCCTGGGCCACTTCCACCATGCTCTGAGCCTGCACGCCCTGGAGCTCAACAGAGAATCCTCTGTGGCCAGCAAGAATTGACCCTGTGCCTCAGAGCCCGGGATCCGCGCGGGGGTGTGTGTGACAGAGGACACGTCAGGCTTGGCAGAGGCCCACCAGATCCAGGACACCCGGAGGCTTGTTCTCTCATTCGTTTGGCCCACATTTGCTGAGCCCCTACCCCAGGGGATGAGAATTCAGGCATGAATGAGACACAGGGAGTTCACAGTCTAATGGAAGAAACAGATCCGTGGACAGTTACTAGGGCAAAGTGACCGGTAACCCAGCTGGCAGCACTGAGGACAAGATACAGGGGAGCGCTTTCTGTCCGTTTGCCACTGTGTCCCAAGTACCAAAATAGTGCCTGACACATAGCAGACATTCTGCTCCTGTTTGAATGAGGGAGGGAGGGAGGGAGGGAGGGAGGGAGGGAGGGAGGGAGGGGTGGGAAGGATAGAAGGAAAGGAGGGAGGAAGGGAGGAAGAGAGGGAGGGAGGAAGGAAGGAAATCTCGTATCAGCTCTCCCTGGCCATCCTCACTGCCAAATGACTCTATGGGGTTCAGGGCTTGTATGTTGCCCAATTCCAGGGGTGCCATTTACATGGACTTCACTGACATAATGCCCCTGGAGTTGGGCTGGGCAATCATCTCCTGGCTGGTCTCCCCTCCTGTCCATCATCTACCATTGTCCCTGAAATGGTGCAAAGCAGACATCCAGTCATGTCATTCTTCTCCTTTACCCTGTCCTTGCCACCTTTATAATCCTCCGGTTTAGGTCCAGCCTTATAAGCATGGTTTATAAGACCCTTTGTCATTTGGTTCCTCACCACCTCATGTCACCACCCCCCGCCTGGCCCCGTGCATTGGCATCAGACAGAATGGTGTTCCCTACCCCTGCTCCTACAGGGCCTTCAGACCCAGCCTGGGTGCTTTCGGACCACACGCTGCTTGTCTGCCTGCCTGGCACTTGGGGGCAGGGACCGTGTCCTGTTTGTCGGGGAGTCCCTACCCTCCAGCACAGTGCCAGGCGCGGAGGCAGTATTCAGTGGGGTCAGTAGAACCATTCCCGTTCCCACAGTGGTTCTTCTTCAACGCCAGAGGCCCTGGTGGCTGGTCAAAGAGGGGTGTGTCCACTTCTAGCACCTAATCTGGGCAGGCAGGGAGGTGACCCCTCAGCACTCCCCGCTCCTCTCTTCTGCTGGCCACCCAGAGTCTCCTTCATGGACCCTCCCTCCTCCACCCCTAACCTCTCTGTGCCCCTGTCCACAAGGGGCCCCCACCCCCAGATCACCTGCCAGGACTTCCGGGCATGGGAGGGAGGAGAACTCGCCTCCCCATAAAAGGTCCGGAGAACGGAGGCTTGTGAGGGTCACCTCCTGTTTCTCCTACCAGGTCTGGGATCCTCTCGACCTGTTAACCTACAGGGAAACTTGTAATAATGGCAGCGATCACAGCCACGTGCTATGCGATACAGTGCGTGCTGGGCTAAGTTACTGGCCTGAGGACACCTGGATACCATTCACTCCTTTTATTTTTACAAGACCATCGGGGCCATGACGGAAGGGATGTCTCCGGTTCACAGACGCGGCACAGGGGAACTAAGGCATTCGTGCCCGTTGACACTCGTAGCAAGTCACAGAGCCAGGACCTGGACCCCACCCTCTGGCTCCCCTGTGCTGCCTCGGAGAGCCCCAGACTGTATGCCGGATGTGCCTGTAGTTCAGCCTGTAGTTTCTCGGGAGAGAAACCGAAGCCCGGAGAAGGGCTAAGACAGTGAGCTGGTGACAGAGCCAGACCAGAGGCCAGGGCCCCGGGCCCCCAGCCAACTCCCTGCCCGCCTCACATGGCCTCCCCGTCCCAGTCCCAGCCTCTGCTGGCTGACAGAATAGTCAGTTCAGGGAGGCTGTAGCTGAAACAAAACAGATTCTACTCCAAGAAGAGGAGCAGGAGGTTGTGAGAATCTGCAGCTGTGGGATTTGACACGGGAATAGACTGGGAGAAAAAGGAAAAAGCCCTCCGTGCACACGTGCACCTGCTGCTAAGACCCTACCATTTCATCCATCCCTGGGCTCTCCCTTGGCTCTCTACCCCCAGATCTTAATAGCTCTTTATAAAGCACTTGACGGTTTACCTCGCACTTTCACAGCTGTTTTCTCGTTTAGCTTCCCAGTAACGCTGGGAAGTGGGCGTGTCTACCCCCCGTATTACAGATAGGAAAGTCGAGGCTTAGGAAGGACGTGTGCTTTTCAAGCACACTGACAGCACGTCAGTGACCGTGCGTACCCAAACTCTGCCACCCCTGCCGACCAGGATGTGCACTGTAGGTAATTCCTTTTCTGGACTTAGCTCACTCCTCTCCAGAACATGACGCACAGTGAGCCCGGGGCAGCTTAAGGGACACAGGCAGGGGGCAGGCAATGATGCTATGGAGGTGGAGACCCAGGGTCACGGAGACGGGCCTGTGTTTTGCTAGTGGGTAGGCGAAGGAGGAACTTCAGGAGTCCCAGGAAAAATGTGGGTGCCCGGAAGCGGGCCAGATAAGGTGAGCCCTGCACTAGAGGGGTGCTGCTTCTGTCAAATATCAGCCTCACCTGTCTCCCCCCCTCCACACCCCAGACCCCCACAGCAGAGTATGTCTGACCTCGCCAGACCCCGATGACCCTCTGAGTTCCTACATCAACGCCAACTACATCCGGGTACGTAGCCCCATCCCAGCGACCTCTGCCTGAAAGGGAGGCCCAAGCCAACAGGATCTGACCTCCAGGCTTGCCCTTAAGCCAGCATGGCTCCTGCCAGCCCCCTGGGAAGGGCCTGAGTGTGGGGACTGGGCCCAGGGAGCGCTGCATCCGACCCTGATAGCCTGGACTTGGCTGGCCACAGGGCTACGGTGGGGAGGAGAAGGTGTACATTGCCACGCAGGGACCCATCGTCAGCACGGTCAGCGACTTCTGGCGCATGGTGTGGCAGGAGCAGACACCCATCATCGTCATGATCACCAACATCGAGGAGATGAATGAGGTAGGCACCCCGTGCCGCTGCCGGGCGTCTGCTGCTTTGTGCCCTCGGCTGAGCATCTTGTTTCCGTATGAATCCTTACAACAGTCTCGTGAGGGTGGTAGTGTTCACGCCACCGCCAAGGGGAGGAAATGGGAGGCTGAGCGAGGTTAAGTCCAGGCCCTGCCCTCTCCACCTGCCCGGCCTATGCTCTGATCGGGTCCTGCCTCCCTGCCCGCTGGGGCCCACTCCGGCTACTTCTTTACCCACAGTAGCTCATTTAAGCGAATCCCCATAGAGTGCTTCAGAGTGGGCATCACTTCCGGTTTCCAGATGAGGAAACTGAGGCTCAAAAAAGGGAAGTAACGTACAGGTTATGAAGCTGAGGTTTGAACTGCCGTCTAACTGCGAACCTGTTGTCCTTTTATGTCCTGCCCTGCTGGCCCTGGTGGGGCACTGGGGAAACCGGGTGGGGAACTGGGAGTGTATTGCAGCCTGGTCTGGGCCCCTGCAGAAGTGCACTGAGTATTGGCCGGAGGAGCAGGTGATGTACGACGGAGTGGAGATCACTGTGCAGAAAGTCATTCATACCGAGGATTACCGGCTGCGACTCATCTCCCTCAGGGTGAGGCCAGGGACTGGGCTGGGCCGGACTGGGCCAGACTGGGAGGATGGGGGACAGGACCATGACCGGGGGCCTCCACAGATAACGGGGTCTGTAGCTGAAATCCGGGCCTCTGTCACTCTCAGGATGTACTGATAAACAGGGATGAGGGAGGGGTGAATGGACTTGGGGGCCAGAGGCAGGACCAGATATCAGTTGTATTTTATGCTCTTGGGCTCTCTCTCTGTCTACACTGTCATTCATGATGCCTTCCAACTCTGCTTCAGATACACTCAAGTCCAGAACTGCCTGGGTAAGAGATCTCCAAACAACCTCCAGTCCTTAGAATTGAAGGTCCGTTAGAACTTTGAGATCCTGTAGTATTCAATCTGTCCACCAGAGGGCAGACACTTCTTGCTGCGTTTGGGTTGCATAGGAAAGTCACGGTTACACAAAAAGGGAGGAAAAAAAAAAGGAAGACATACAAAATGTGAGCAATACAAAACAGCCCAAAAGAGTGGGGGGGAGGTATCCTCCCACCCTGAAGTGGTGCTTCTTCTAGGCTCAGCATAAGAGAGGAGATTGTTCCTCTGGAATCCTCTGGATTGGGTAGAGCCCAATGTAATAACCCCAAAGGCTGGGAGAGGTGAGCCAAGTGCCAGGAAGCTTTCTGCTTCCCCAGAAAGAGAGGCTGAGGTGAGATGAGGGCCGCCTCATTGTCACACTGCCATGGGGAGTATTTACTTTTGTCCATGAGTCCATGAGTCTCTACAAGAAGCCTCCCTACGCCTGGTTCTGGGTGGGTACTGGGAACACAGACTGTCCAAAGCCTGGACTCTCTCCTAAAGGAGCACCCCTAATGGTAAGTACCAGGCTAGAGATTGGCAAGAACATAGAAGAAGGCCACTCCATTAGCCAGGGTGTTCAGGGAGGGCTTCCTGGAAGTGGTGGTGCTGAATGGAGTTGGCAGGATGAGTAGGAGTTGACTAGGGGCAAACAAGGGAGAAAACATTCCAGGCAGAGAAAAAAGTTAAAAAGAAAGGCACGGAAGATGGAATAGCTCTGTGTGTGTGTGTGTGTGTGTGTGGGTGTGGGTGTGTGTGTGCGCACGCGCGCGCACGCGTGCACGCACAGCAGAGGTTTTATGTACAAACCATCTGGAGTGCAGAAGCACTCCAGATTGAGTACTACCCGTGTTCAGGGGTAGGAGACCGGCCTGGAGGGCTAGGTCCTATACGGTGTGTCTCATTTGCCAGACTGAAGACTAAGGAGAGTGGGTTTTATTCAGAGAGCAACAAGGGCCGTTGGAGAGTTCTGAGCAGGAGAGCAGCGTGTCCAGATCTGTGCTGCACACGACCACGTTTGGCCACTGTGGGGATAGAGCAGTCAGGGGGGAGGGAGAGACGGTGGAGACACGATAAAGGGCGAAGCGGAGGTGGAGCTGGTGGAGAGGCAAGAACACTGACAAGACTTGGGGGTGGTGGCAGGCGAAGCGTAGTGACGTGAGCGGGAGAGCCCCCAGGCTCCGGGTCATGAGACTGAGGGGTGACCCGGCTGTTTAAGATAAGGGAGCAGAGGACAGGATCGGATTGGAGAGGGACCCTCTGCCTCTCTTGGAGGACCCTGGAGTTGTTGGGGCAGAACGGACCAGGGAAGACCAGTTGTCACTGAGCAGCTTCCACTACCAAGCTGGCTGTGGGTCTCTGATGCCACTGAGCAGTACGAGCAGCACGGTGTAGGTGGCAGAGGCCGTGGGTCCCATGCCGGGGTCTCCCCACTGTGTTCTCGCTGCTCCCTTCCCAACTTTGGGCTACGTTGGGGACTCTAAGAGTTCACATGTATCTGGGGTGGGTCTCTGTCTCCTGGACAGAGCGGGACCGAAGAGCGAGGCCTGAAGCATTACTGGTTCACGTCCTGGCCCGACCAGAAGACCCCAGACCGGGCCCCCCCACTCCTGCACCTGGTGCGGGAGGTGGAGGAGGCCGCCCGGCAGGAGGGGCCCCGCTGCGCCCCCATCGTCGTCCACTGCAGGTGGGTCCTCCCAGCCACCCACCAGGGCAGGGCAGCCTCCCTGCTCCCCACGCCGGTCCGTTCCTTACCCCAGCATCCCCTCTGCCCTCAGTGCAGGGATTGGGAGGACGGGCTGCTTCATCGCCACCAGCATCTGCTGCCAGCAGCTGCGGCAGGAGGGAGTGGTGGACATCCTTAAGACCACGTGCCAGCTCCGTCAGGACAGGTCGGCCCGTGCACAGGGGTGGGGGCGCATGGGGAGAGACTGAGGCACGCGTGGGGTGCGGGGCAGGAGGACCCACGGCACATGGATGTGCTGGAGGATGGGGAGTGGAGGACACAGATGGGGAGAGGAGCTGGATCCAGACAGCTGCTGGCCGGATGAGGAGGGGAAAGGAACCCAGCTGGGGAGGGGGGAGG